AAAGGGTGTTAGAAAGTAAAACAATTTTTGTATGTCTTAGGCCCAAACCCCTTTTTTTGTAATCAGAAAAGAAATAATAAAAAAACAAAAACAAAGGGATAGACTTGCGTGTTGTATAATGATCAGGGGGTGTTAGCTGAGTGAAACAAATCAGGTCCAAATAGATATAGGCCCAAATGCGTTTTTGAACAAAAAAGAAACAGGGAAATGTTGTAAAAATGACAAAAGGTCTCGCTGGGTCTCGAACCCAGGACCTTCTATAGGTATGCCTTACGCGCACGCTCTCTACCACTGGAGTGGCTATACATCCGTTTATTTATACCAAACCAACACATTATATTATAAAACAAGTTCTAGTGACAACTTCATCTTCTTCCTCGCGCCATAACCAGAGCTCTATAACTTTCTCAACTCTCAACCATTCTCAAAAGTATGAACATCAAACTTGTTAGAAATTTCACCACGATTTCAAATATGTAAATAACTTAAGCAATGGATCAAAGATGAGCACGAATTTTAAATGGTACCAAATTTAACCTAATTTTTTCAGAAAGTTCGGGCTCAAAATTCTCACTACTCAGGCAACATAAATGAATTCTAAGGACATGGTTAGTTTCAGGGCTATGATGTCTAGATTTTATCTTTTAAAATAGAAGTCAAATGATGCTTGTATGAAGAGTTAGAAAATTAGAAAACTTACCTTACAGATGGAGATCATGTTTTGAGTTTGAGCAGCTTTCAAGGTGTTGTAATAATCTAGTTAGCTTCCTTGAACCTCCAGGAGACTATTCCAATAGTTACTTTGAGCTGAAGATTCCTGAATCGTACTAGAGAAGTCCAAGTGCAAGGTGTTGTTCTTGAAAATGGAAGATGGTGAAGATGGAGTTACAATTGTGTAACAGGTGTTGGAATAACTTCTATATGTGTTATAGAAGCTTGGTGAATGATAGAAATGGAAAACGCACAAGTGGTTCATGAGATGTATGTTCAATGGCAGAAATGACACAACAATGGTGTTTTTAGAGCAATTTCTGGTTTGAGGGAGTTTTCAGGCTTTCAAAATCGTGTGTTATCTTGCAAATGATGTCTCAATTTATAGGCAAGAGGTTTGGAGAAAAGAGAACACCAGATTTGCAAGTTGCAAAGTTATGGCTATGTTTCTTGTTTTTGAAGCAAGCTTGAAGAATATGGTTTCAAGGTGAAGTACCATGTCCTTTAGGGTGGCTAGACACTTAAAACATGTTTCTTCTGATTGTTTATGTTGAGTGTGACCAGAACAAACAAGTTAGAGGCTCAAGAAATTGACTTTGTGATTAAAGTGAACTTTTCCATAATAGAAGTGTGATCTTTCTTCCCTAAATGGCAAGTCAACTTGGATAAACCTTGAAACACTTGGACAATTGATCAATCAGTTGTGTAAACATTAAATTAAGGAGTGATTTGAAAGTTAGAAGCCTGCAAAGCAAGATTTGTGCAACATAGTTAGAGATTTGGTCAAGTGTTCATCACAAAAATGCCTTGTAATTCAAGAATGGATGCCCAACGTCTTCTCTTCGATTATCTTAGCTCAAAAATGATCTCTTCAAGTTCTTGGACATTTTGGAAAGCTTGAAACATCCTATACAACTTTAATATTTTCTATTTTTTCTAAATAAAATTGGAGCTATGTGAAAAATGGCCAGAAAGTTGGGACAAAACATCTGCCTAAACTAGGTCAAAATTTCACTAAGTGTTTAAGAAAAAGTGCATGACTTCATGGGTCTATAACTCAAAATCTAAGCATTTTTTTGGATATGAGTCCTCTAATACGAAGTTGTAGATCTCATCAAGATATAAAACTTTCATGTTGAAAGTTTCCTTTGAGTCATCTTGCATCTTGATGAAAAATTGGCATGAAGTAGTGAAATTATCATGTACAAAAACACTTAGAAAATTTCTAAGTCTTGAAAAGTTTGACTTTTTAAATTGACTTTTGACTTTTTTGATTCTTTGATGATCAAGCTTCATATTTTTGAATGTCTTGATGAATTTTGATCTTTGAAACTTAATGTTGATCAAAAAGTCAAAGTTTGACTTTTGGTGTATCAGTTGACTTTTCATCAGTTGACCAAAATTCAACTATCAATCCATTGATCTTGAAAGATGATTTGAGCCATAAAATTAGGTCAACGTATTGTGTTGGAATCCTTGAGATTGTGCTTCAAACTATTAGCCCATGTCTTAGGTCAAAAGTTATTGATCAGTCAATTACAATCAAAATCCTAATTTTACCAATTTTACCCCTTTGATGATTTGGGCATTTTTCTTGGGGAATTATGATCCAAACTTGATCAATTGATAAATATGACTTCAAAATGTTGATATTGGTCAAAAATCTTGAAGTTTGATTGTAGGTTGACCACAACTGACTTTTTACTCAATGTAGCTGATTTTTAGTCATATGGTCAATTGACTGAGCAAAATTGTGATTCAAGACTTGAAACTTAACATGAGTATTCTTGGAGGTTTATAATGATCTATGATAGTCATTTGAGACATTAGAAGTCCAATTGTCCTTGTGAAAATCAGAATCCTAATTTGAGTCATTAGTGTTTAGGAGATGGTTTGACCTAGTCAACACTTGTGCAAACTTGAGCCTTTGGAGATCTTTTGAGAAATGTCTTGAGAAAAGAGATGACAAATTTTGGGGTACAACACATATGTTTTCTCCATCGAATCCAATTCTTGCCGTCATGAGTTGGAAGAGAATTCAGAATACCGTTAGTACCATTCATCTTCACAATGATTGATTGACAACAACCCACGATCCCCAAAATACAATCTCTAACGTGTAATTCTTGAAAACACAATTAAGAATCTAATCAGTACTCTAGATATCAATTTGTTAGCACGTGAAACACTTTTAATGCATGGAGAAAGATAAAATATAAGAAAATAAAGATTTTATAATTGAATTGAATTTTTTAAACTGAATTACAAAATTATGTTTATTTATATACACCTAATTTATACATTAGGTAGATTAAAAAACTTTAATTAAGTTTGAATTTAAATTACACAATTTCTATTATATCTTATATCTTAACAGGATTGCTAGTCAGGTAAAACATTGCTGCTACAGAAACGTTACATTGAATGTCATTTACTAATAGGTTTGGATTCCAAGTTCCAACAAATACTACTGAATTGTGGATAGCATAGACATGGCTGAAAATCATACACGTACGGTATCAAACAGCTAGTTTTGCCATATTATGTTGCTAAGGACAAAGCTTCTGCTCTCAGCATAATTCAAGCAGATGGCACTATTTGTAACAAAGAAACTTTAATGCTTTTCTTCTTTTTAACAGCTATACATAATTCCATGCAACCATATTCTGGAAACTATACTGCAACTTGAGACTGTTTGTTTGGCTTCATACAACCCTTATTAATTGCCTATTTTAGCATTGCCTGGCTGTTACATAAATGCATAACATGAATGGATTTAAGCGGGTGACGTGACATGTATTCTTGCATTCTTAAGAGAGAATTAGATGCAGAATCTAGCAATATTTTTGTCTAGGATTTAGTTGATAGTGATCCCTATTTTTGTTTTGTTGTATCTCTTCTCTTTGTATTTACTTTTTTAAGTTGTAAATTTATTGAAATATTCCTTGTATTTCTTTGCTAATATAAGCAAAATAGACATTATTATCAGGCAACAAGATTGTCATGATAGATATCTTACATAAAATTATGAAATAAAAGTAAGATCGTAAAATATAAAATCATAGTTAAGAATGTAAGATCCTATTCCATTAATAAAATCGTATAAGATAAAATCGCAACAAAAATCGTTAAATCTTGCTAATATAAAAAAATAATACTATCATGAATACATGATTTCTTCTCATGAATACACTTACCTATTAAAATTGTAGTTGTTGTGTGCATCTTATCATTCTTCTCACATTTTAATAGTGGTGACCAGAAAACGGTCAGTCATAGCTGAAACTAACAAAGATTGCACAAAATCAATAATTTTACGATTTTCTTTCTATAAATTGGCTACAACACATAGTTCTACTTAAGATCGAGATTGTTGAATGTGAGTGAGATCGTAAAATCTTAAGATTTTAAAATCTAGATCGAGATCTTGACAACTATGCTCGGCGAATCAAACTTATTTGAGACTTCAAATCACAACTGCATAATTTTGATTTAAATTTTATTTGACAGGTATTAGATATCTCAATTGTACTACTCCCTCTGTTTCAAAATAACACAAATTTTATTTTAAAATGACTGTTATTTTTACTTTTCAATATAGTAATGATTACTATTTTTTCAATTGTATCATTTACTTTTTACTCTCTACACAACTTCCAATACATTAATAGGATTAATTTTGTAAATGTGTAATGTTTTATAACAACATCATTGTATTTTAACTTGTGTGCAAAAATCTTAAAGAGCATCATTTTAAAACATGTAACTATCCTACAGTAACATCAACTGCATCATCTTGGAATTTTAGAGATCTTTTACAGATTAATCACGATTCAACAACCGTGGCATAAAGATTGTTATTTATCCACAATTTAACTTTAAAAAAACTATTTAATATCGGCCAATCTTGATATTTGATAAACTAAAAGTTGAATTAAATTTATTTACTGCACAAATGCAAAGAAGCTTTTTCTTTTCTTTTTCTAAGACTGCAGTATTGGGGATAGAGAAACAGTACCCTATTTACTCAGACAGCACATTAACTTATTCAAAATATATAAAGTTTATATATAAATTTAGTCATTGCTCTTCCCAATACATCCAAAACATAATGTCCATAGATACTTTCATTAATAAGCATGATAATATGGATATACAATAACTCAAAGTTTCATGTAAAATCAAAGAACAACAAAAATACTAGCAGAATAACAATAAATAAAGTATTTACATTTTTTAATTAAGCCCTTTAATAATACTTAATAAACTACTCTAATCAAACTTCTGATTTAATTAATACCAAAACCATATTGACTCATATCAAACCATACCTGCCTAAACACTTTGATTATCAGATCATGATACTCATCAGCATTCAAAGTCAAATAACATGCCAACAACTCTTCCATTTCTTCTGCCTTACTAATCCTTTTCTCTTCAATCATCTCAATCATTGAATCTCTAAAATCTTGCTTTGGATTCAATGAACACTTAATCACAGCAAAACTATCTAATTCTGGTTTAATATTAAGACTAATTTCCTCCATAATCTCTTCCTTCTTTTCCCTCTTCATCTTTTGCTTTGCTTTGTTCCTCATTTCTTCTAATGCTTTTATTCTGCATAGTTCAACTTTTGATATCATCCTTGGTGAATATATTTTCACCCTCGAAACTTTCTTTACTTTCCTCCTTAGTTTTTCTTGCATCTTTACCTTCATCTCTTGATTCTCCTTCAAATTCTCCTTCTCAGAAATCTGTTTCTTCTCAGATGATGCATTCATTGCGATGTTTCTTACGCTACAAGAAATCTTCTTCAAACCTGCATTAGAAGAACCAAAAGAATGCGTTGTTGTACTTGTTCTTGGTGTACAAATTGTTCTTGGTGATTCATATTGAAGTTCTTCAACTTCCTTTGCTTCTCTTTCCAGCTTCAAAAGCTGTTCTTCCAAAACTTGTTGCGCTTTTCTCTCGAATCTTCTCCTTATGTTTTCATATTCTTTATCTCTATCATACTCATCAACCTGGATCAAACTCTTGTTATCATTCAACAGTTTTCTCTCTTCTTCTAAACCAATAAAATCCTTCTGCTCTAACTTGATTGCACCTTGTGATTGTGATCTTCTTCCACTTTTCTTACCATTCCTTCCACCAATATCAAAACATGAAGGTGGAAATGGAATATCCTTAACCGACGTAGTAGGTTTCTGCTTTTCCTTCTGCTTCATTTTTGCATGATTTGAATCTGAATTGATGATTCTCATGTGCTTTAACTTTGAAAGCCAAGAAAAAGAACCAGAAGAAGAAGAAGATGATGAAGGTTTTCTTCCAGTTCCACTTCCACCCCATTTCATCATAGTTTGTTGTATGCAAAAAAGTGGTAATAATTGATGATATTGTAAGGTTAAAAAGTGAAATAGTGATGCGGTGTGAAAAACAGTTAGAAAGTTAAATAAGAATGTGGGTTTCTTATTGTTTTTTAAAAGAGAAAACCGCCACAAATCATGTGACACTTTTTTTCTTCTACTTATTTTTAGGTCCACTAAGAGCAGTAATAAAGAGGTGGTTGCCAACTTTTATATTGCTCTATTATTATTATTATTATTATTATTATTATTATTATTATTATTATTATTACTATTATTAAATTAACTCAGAGAATTATTTTTTCGTTCTAAATTTGCAAAATGATTCATTTTAAATTTTGTTTTAAACTTTTGAATTGTTTAGGCCGGGCTTGTATATTAGAATCAATTTTCTTTGGAGGGAAGTTGTTTCAAATAAAGAGACAATAATTTCTAGGGGTTTCTATTTTGTTTTTCTAATAGTTTGTAGGGGACATTTTAGCATGTAGTTGGACTATTATTACCGGCCTAAAAAGGTCTATGCTTCAACTTTTGTTTGTTTATTGTTTTTTGGTTTAAGTTCTTGCTAGTTGTTGATGGAAGAGTCCAGATAGGAATTTTTTACATATAATGCAGTTTTCTTTTTTAAATTTCCTAAAATAACTGACAGTTCAAATAATTTTTTAATATATCTCACGTTTTCAAATAAAAGAAAATAAATAATGAAGTATTGATATCAAGTGAGTTGGTACATACACTTAAAATTAAAGATGAGATCTCAATTAAATATTGATACATATATTAAGTATTGTCAACTCAAATGATGTTTGTGTGTATTTTTTAAAAGGAGACGTCAATTCAATTGACACGTGTGTTGTGTTTTTTTTATTTAATAATAATTGATAATTTGTGTTAAATTTGAAATTAAAAATATTAATATTAAATTCAGGACATGTTTACGGATGAAAACAAAAAGAAAACACTAGCGATGTTGATTGGAGTGGTTTTATCGGCCATCGGTTCCACACCCTCTGTGTATCCTAACTCGTGGCCTTAGCCCATATGTTGATTCACCTAAGTGTTTAAGGATTTGAGGTCCCATGAACATCACCATCAGCAGATTCCCTAATAAGTTCTGGTATTTCTAAGAAGTCTTGTGTATGAAATGACACACTATCGTAACTGAGTTCTTGACCCATGCAAGAGTAGTTGGAGTGTGTTCGGGTTATGGGTGTGTGGTTGGAACTATTGAAGGGTGCCATTAGTATGAACGATTCGTTTGGGAAAAGTTGAAATGGTTATTGTGGTGTTTGATAGTCATATTGCATGTTTCGGTTTTGTGATGTTTGGACTTCTTGGCTATGGTATGAGGAAGGGTTGGTGTTATATGATCATTAGGTATTTTGGCTATGGCGGCTACGGTATGATGATGTGTTAGAGGAATAGGGATGTTGGGTGTTGTAGCGGTAGAAATATTGACACTAAGCCATTAGATTGACTTAACTCGCATAGATAAAAATAAAAAATCGTCACTGTGCTTTATTGTTTCCAAAGGAAATGGGAGAAGAACGAATAAACCCAAAAAAGAAGGGGAGAATCTAGGTACGGGAGTTGGTTATACAAAGGGGAGATATTAGCACCCTAAACATCTACGGTACTCTGCAGGAACCTCTTTGGAAATTTATGTATTTTGGCTATAAAAGGTGTGATCGTACCTGATCAAAAGGGATTGTCAAAGCACACAAGCTTCAAGTCGAACAACAATTGGATGTGAAATGAGGGGGGGGGGGGGGGAGGGGGGTACCTGCAAGATACTTTGATGTCAAAGTGAGGTTCAGAGCAAACGCAAGCAAGTATGAGAATATGAGTGAGTGATTGAATATCTGACCCTCTCAACTGAGAGGGTATTTATAGCCCCCAACGCTAGGCCAAGGTCTTTAGTGTTGGGCTTCGATTAGGCCCAACAACGAAGACTGCCAGGATTTACGGGAGTATGGAGTCCAGCACATGGCCTCCTCCCTGGTCAACTTCCCTAAGAAAGCAGAAGCTGGACCCGTCATTCCCGGAGAGCAGGGTGATGATGATATGGACATGTGAGTTGTCTTCCTAGTGGACGTGTGGGGAAATTCCCTACGGTTCTCAACTTGGGCTGCATGCTTTTGGGCCCTTGGTAAAGACGCTGGTAAAGTGTAGGCCCAGTCCAGAACAAGGGCTACCGGTACTCAAAAATATGTCGCACTAACGTAGCTATTGCTTAGACCGTGTCGGTATATCCCGCATAATTTCCACAACATAATGCTACTTACCTATAAGGTATCCCAAATCGGGTAGAGGATTCAAACCCAAACAAAGAACCAAAATGTAAAGCATACAAGTCAAAAAAAGAAAGAAAGTAAATGTGATCTAGCCCTAAGGTAACCCCACTTTTAGAATATCCCCAGCAGAGTCGCCAGTTCTATGATACAGTGGTAGAACTGACTTGGGATGTTTTACGTTTTATCGCAAATGTTGCGGTTAGCAAGAGTCGCCACCGACTTTTCTTTTATCCAAAAGGAAAGGTGAAAAAGCACAGGAAAGACCTTTGAGATCTTTTCTTGAGTTCGAGGGGTAGATTATGAAAAGGGAAGGTATTAGCACCCTTTTCATCCATGGTTTTCCATGGGCTCTTAGTTACTTGCTAGATCACTTGCTTTTGTTTGAAAAATGTGCTTTGTGTGGTTTTTGAAAGTATTTTGAAAAGGCGTCATCGTTTAGGCAAACTTTGTAATGATTCTCGTTCGTAAGAATGTATACAAAGTGTTGATCTTTTGAAAATGTTTTTCAAGTTTGAAAGATGTTTTTGAAAGTGTTGGTGTTTATTTTGAAGATAGCAAGGATGTTTTTAGTTTTGAAATTGAGCAAGTAACTAGGAATAATATATTTACTCAAAGGTATTTCATGTTTATTTCCTCTTTCCTTTGACGTTGTTATCTTACCATTGATTTTGGTAAGTAAATCTATCTTTGGATGTAAACGGGACGGGCATGGGTCATCGTATAATCATGATTAGCAATGTTACAAAGTATCTTAACATCTTCTTTTAGGGACTAAGATCATTTTGAAAGGCAACTTTTCATAGCGTCATCGAGGGACTATGATCTTGTATTTTGCTTGTTTTTGTTAAGATACCTCACATGCATAACATGGTCATTTTGTAAGGTAACCAAGTGGATTTTACCCTAGGGGTGCTTGTGTGCAAGTGTGCTGATTTTTCATGCTTGATTTGTCTTGATTAGAGTTTGCTATTTGTTGGCTTTAATCTTTCCATACAAACTCTAATTACTAGCAATTGGTACATAAAGCATTAAATTGCGGAAAATAAAAATACCAAGCTATTACAAAGCTTTAGGGGATGGGGGTACAAATTTATGAATGGGGATTGCAAGAAATTAAAATCCTAATTATCTATTACAACCATATTGAAATAATATACAAGAAATGTAAAAGGGACTTGTTTTGTTTTTAAGAAATTAATTTACTTAAGAAAAATATTTTTGATATTTTTGTTCTAAAAGAAATGAAATAAAACATGTGAATATGAAATATTTTTTGGTGTTTTTGGTTATTAAAAGCAAAAAATAAGATAAACAAGAAAATGGAGTCAGAATCAGCACATTGCTGAAACAAGGAGGAACATAAGTTCTGACTCTGATACACTGCAAGAGAGAAAGTGTTAGTAGGCAAGCAGAAGGTCAGAAGTTTTCGGCATGGGTACACCAAGTTCTGAGATTGCTGGGAATAAAGGAAGATCTAGAAGTTATGATTGTTGAAGGGGTTCAGAAGCTGTAGTGTAGTTGGGAACCTAGAAGTTCATATATCACTGGCAAATCAGAAGTTCTGACCATTGGAGAGAGTGAGGTGGCAATGGTGTTGGGTAAAGTTGCTTAGAAGTTCTGATTTAGGAATATTGCTTGCCAGATAAATGGGTGAAAAATGTCAATAAATAAACCTAAAAAGAGATGCTTCTGGGGCTAGAACCCAGGACCCTTAGTACTTAATGTCTTATGCCCATGCTTTCTACCATTGGGATAGTTGTACATCCGGTATTAGAGGCAAAAGCATGAACATATAACATAAAATAAATTATGATGATGAGCTTCGTCTCTTTCTCCATGCTAATCAGAACATCTGCAACTTAAGCATTTCTCAACAGAACAGAAAAATATAAACATAGAAATTATGGCAGGTCTTCCATCATGGTTTCAGAAGCACAAAAAATATCAAGACTATAAATTAAAAACAAGCATGTATATTCTAATCCTAATTTCCTTAGTAAATTTTGAACTGATATTCTCCCTATTTAGGCCGAAAAATACATGAAACTTCAGAATATGTACAGCATCAGAATCAAGATGTCTACATTGTGTTTTTGAATATGCAAGCCTAACAATGCTTAAGGAATATGATGAGGGTTAGCAGAAGCTTACCTTGTTGTTGAAAAATGTTCTATGAGCTGGAGCCTGGTTCTGACTGCTTGTAATATTCTGATCAGCTTCCTCACGTGCCCAGCAGGCTAGAACAACCTTTATCTTGGGCTATGAATGGTTGGAAAATTCTAGAATAGTCAAGAAGCAAAGTTATGACTTTTTGAGAACGTGTTACAGTCTGAAAACAGGGGTTAGGATGATTTCTAAATGTATATCAGAAGCTATATATATGGTTTGGTCAAGAAACACTTAATAAAAATTGGAATTTGAATGCAAAAATCAAAGACTAACAAGTTTTGTATTTGGGCTGCAGCTTCAAGTTCTTGGGAGATTTTAGCAAGGTTTCAAGGCTTTTCTTTTCAATTTTTCTACCGACCCCCTCATAGTTGTCAATGAAGTTCAATTTATAGGCAAGAACTTTGTAGCTTGGAGAAGTCAAAAGTACAACCCTCATACACTAGGCGCTGACTTGTTCTTGAAGCAAGTTCAAACAAGTAAGGTTAACAGCTTTTAGCCGTGCCTAAGCTGGATTTGTAAGCATGAATT